TCTGCCCGCACGTGCGCGCGCCGGGCGCGGGGACCCAGTGCCAGCGCTGCGACGCCGCCGACCCCGCGCGCCACCACAACGCCTCCTACCTCACCGACTTCCACAGCCCCGACGACAGCACCTGGTGGCAGAGCCCGTCCATGGCCTTCGGGGTGCAGCACCCCGCCTCGGTCAACATCACCCTGCGCCTGGGTAAGGAGCAACGCGCCGCCCGTCCCGTCGGGGTCCGGGCGGAGGACGCGGAGCCTCTGTGCGCCCCGGGCGGAGCTGTAGGACCCAGGCACGGTGCGGGGCTCGGGAGCAGGAGCAGGGCGTGCGTCCCGTAGTCCGCGGGCGAGAAGCACCCCCGGGCGAGAAGACCCCAGCCGGCCCTTTGCCCAGGCTGCGTGGGGGTGCAGTTACAGTTTCCAACCTGCAGCCAGGACTGTTGGGGACGGGGTGACGGTGCTCCAGGGGCTCCTCATCCGGGACCCTCAGGGCGCTTGAGGCCTCCGTGGACCCCGCGGCTGCGGGAGGTCCGGGAGATGGACCAGGGCATTCACCAGCAAACCGGAGCAGTGTGGCCTCCGGGGCAGTGGGGTGGCCGAGCAGGCTGGCACGGCCTCTCTGCCTTGCCCAAGTCTGCTGCCATCCAGCCCGTGCCGGGCTTGGGAAGTCCTTGGGCCCCTGGGAGCCAGAATCTCCCCATCCGAGTCGCCCAGCCCAGTGTCCTCCTTGGCCCCCTGCCCTGTGCCGGGCACCTTTCCTGTTTTCGCACCCTTTCAGGGAGGGGAGGGGGTGTTTATTCCACCTTGAATGTGAGATCCAAATCTCCCAAAGCTTTGATAACTCGGAGTATTTTTATAACTTCGCTTGGCAGCTAAGCCTGACCTGTGGCTATTTATAAGCTTTGCTTATCCTGGTGTGAGAGAATATTCCCACATTTTGCTATTGAAGTCTCACTCCAGTACAGCCTGCAGTCCCCAAAGAATGCTGCAGTGACACCGTATGTGACATCAGGCGGGCGACTTCTTTGCAAACTCTGTCAGGCTCTGACTTCTAAAACGTGTCCTGAACCAGTGAGTTTGGATGACGATGTTTGAATCGACTCCCCATTTTCCAGATTCGAGATTGAGGCTCAGAGAGGTTAGGCGCTCTGTCTAGAGACACACAGCTGAACGTGGACATCTGTGGCCATCTGGGTCCAAGCATAAACTTGGCGTCAGCTGTGCCTCCCACAGGCTCTTCCTAGGCGGGCTGTGAGGGCCTGAGGGGAGCCGGGCGATGACCTCAGGGTCGGGTGGTGGGCAGGGAGGACCCCGTGCCCCTCCAGAGCAGAGGCTGCCACCCTGGGAGCCATGTCACCCCCTCTTGCTTGTCTGGACCATGAGGTGGGGCTGCTGGATAGGGCGGGAGGGGGCTGGCGGGAGCCCAAGGCCACAGGGGAAGGAATCTTGGGGGGTGGAGGGGAGACATGTGACAAAGGGTGTCCCGTGTGTCAGGGCGCCTAGACGCCTGGGCAGACTCAGCCCAGGGCAGGCATGGGGGAAGGGGGGCAGGCATCCAGGGCCCCGGATTGAGGTACTGGTAAGTGGGCGCGTAAGCACCAGTCAGGACCATTGGAAGCAGGCGACGCTGATCCTTCTGTGAGCAGGGGACCTGTGGCATGGGGCGAGCACGGCACACACACATGTACGTGCACACACAGGCACGCACACCCACCCCAGCTCCCCTCGGCCGGGCCAGCACCCTTTTGTTAGATTGTAGATTGCACACCGAACAGGATGAAGGGGTGAGTGGATGAATGACAGGCAAGCCGGCTGCAGGCGAAGGGGTGAATTCCAGCACTGGGGGAAGAGAGGCCTGGGGGCTGCGGGACACCCGTGGGAGCCCTGATCCTTAGATGGGGCGGGCTGGGACCGTGCCCTGATCTCAGGCCACCTTGGCTGGGCCGTCCCCACCTCCCCGCTGCTGGACGGCCGCAGCCTGGCCCGTCCCCTAGAGGCAGTGGGGGAGTGGGGCAGGGCGGTGAGCCTCGGTGGAGGGGTGGAGGTCGCTGCTTTCCCAGCCCCCTGTGGCTCCCAACATCTGTTCCAGCTCCCGCGGTGGCAGTGGCCGGCTGGGCCTTCCTGTCTGGGATGAAAGGCCACGGCGGGGCTGGCGGCTCCCAGCCTCCTCCTCCGAGGTAGCTGGGGACGCCAGCAGTGCTGGGGCAGTGACAGCAGGGGACCGGCCTGTCATCGGGGACTGTTGGGGGACGAGAACAGCAGCACGCCCGCCATCCCAGAACTCAGGAGGCTGAGGCAGGAGGATGATCCTTGTGAGTTTGAGGCCAGCCTGGGCTCCATAGAGAGTTCAAGGCCAGCCTGGATGACAGAGCAAGAAAAACAAAGACATGTAAATAATAAAGACTCGACCCTGGCAAGATCCCAGCCCCTCCGGCTCTGTGAAGCATGGGACAGGCCTCCCCTTCCTGCGCACGTGCTGGCTCAGATGTCTGGAATCTTCCTGACCCTCAGAAAGACCCCCGAGTCTCCAGGCAGATGAGTTCCGAGGCCCTGCGCGGGAAGCCGCAGCACTGTCCTACCTCCGCCCGCACCAGGTCCGCTAGGCTGCTGCAGGCACAGGTCCTCCCTGGGCCCGCTCAGCCCCTCCCCGAGTGTCTGGAGCTTCCCCACATTAGCCCTGCGGTGAGGCTGGGAGGGCGACCCTGGGGGCTTCAGCTGGAACACCCCAGCCCTGGTCCGGTGGCCTGGCTGAGGCCTGCAGTCGGTGACGGTGCTGTGGGCTGAGGGAGCGGCGGTTCTGGGACCTGCAAGACCTGCAGGGAAGGAGACCCCAGGGGCGGCCGGACCAGGGGACCCTGCTGCTCCCCGAGAGCCTCGGAGCCGGTTCTGCCGTCTTCCTGCCGCGTGGGCGGGTGTTTGCCTTGGCCAGGCAGAGCGGGGCCAGCAGCTCAGCTCCCCCTGGGAACGCTGGCTGGAGCACGGGGCCCTGGTGGGTCGAGGTCAAGGCGGGGGCCCTGGCCGGCTCCCTCTGTCCCCAGCAGCTTGCCAGGTCTCCTGAACCGACCCAGGAGCTGGGGGGTCCTGTGGCTCTGAAAGGGGTGCGGGCAGGCAGTGTGCCAGCCCCCCACTGCGCCTCTGCGTCAGCCTTGTCCCTGCACCCCTCAGGCTGCTGCCACCCCCTGCGTGCCCGTGCGAGGGCCGCCACCCTGGCCCCCACCTCCGGGTTACCCACACCGGCCTCACAGACAGTTTCGTGCCTGCCCTGTGCAGTCCCCGAGCCCAGTCAGGGACAAGCGGCGGGGCCCTCAGCGTATGGAGGACCGGCCTGTGTCTGTTGGAATCGTGGCCCAGTCTGGGACCGACTCCTCCTGCACACCCCACCCTGACTCAGGCAGGTCCTGAACAGCAGCCAGCCCTCAGACATTATACAAGGGCCCCAAGTTTAAAGCCCCAAAGCAAAGGCACCTATGGGGTTCATAACAGCATTACTCACAGTAGTGAAAAGATAGAAGCAATCCAGGAGTCTAGATGGTTGATACCTAAGCAAAATATAGTCTGTTCCCAGAGTGGAACAGTATGCAGCCCTGAACAGGAAGGAGCTCACAGTGTGGGTAAATGCAGAGAACATTGCATCAAGTGAAATGAGATAATCATAACAGAACAGCACTGTGTGAGTCCACTCCTAGGTGGTTCCAGGAGCAGTCAAATTCCTGGAGACGGAAAGTAGAATGGGGGCAGCCAACCTGGGGAGGCGGGTGGGGAGTTAGTGTTTAATGGTGCATTTGTAAGGTGAGAAGATAAAAGTGTTCTGGAGCAGGCTGGTGGTGACAGTTACACTGCCCTTGAGTATACTTAGCGCCACTGGTCTGGACATTTGAAAATGATTAAGATGGTGAGGTCTGTGCTGTATGTTTGCCTTTTATTTATGAGACAGGGTCTCCCTGTATAGTCTGGGCTGGCCTTGAACTCACTATGTAGCTCACATTGGCCTTGAACTCATGGAGATCGTCCTGCTTCAGCCTCCTATGTCTCTCTGATGTGTTGCAGTGGCCCTGAGTCCGTCTCCTCTCTGCATCATTGTAGTTTGCACACTTCAGTCAGCGTGGACTCACCTCAGACTCCTCCTTAACCCAGAGCCCAGACAGCCCGGGACACATCCCTGTGCCGACCCCAGTCGGACAATAGACCCGACAGACATGGTGGATGTCGGGGCTCAGCGTGCCCGGCGGGGGGGGGGGGAGATGTGGCTGGGCTCTGAGGTCTCTGTCATCCTCCTGCGCTCACAGGGAGCCCCCAGCTCTTCACAGGACTCTGCGGTCCCCAGAATCCCCAGGAGCTAGGACTGCAGAGGAGGGGCGGGGACAGTGGGTGGCCAGGCCGGGGACCCTGCGGGAAGCCCGCACGCTGCAAGCGGCTCCCCCACCCGGCTCTGTGTTCCCAGCCCGGCTCCTGCGGTCCCCTCCCCTAAACTGCTGCTCCCAGATGGCTCCAATTAAAGGGCTTTGTTTTGTTTCCATTTTCCCAAAATAAGCCTCAGGTCTCTGTCTGGGTGTGCCGTGCTCGGCCAGCGCCGGATGTGGACCCGCTTGGCTTCTGACTGCCCGGTGGCGGCGTCCTTGGGCCCTGTGACCCAGCTGGCTGTGGAGGACCTGGCTTGGTGCTCCTGGTACAAGGCAGGGGTGGGCAGTGGGGACACCCACACCCCTTCCCCAGGCAGACTTTCCTCTGGGGACCTGTGGAGCGCCAGGTGGTGGGGCTTCGGGTGACAACTCTGGGGGCCAGGGGCCAGGTGGAGACTCGGCTGTTGTGCATGGTGTCGGGGCATCCTCTCCCCTCGGTTGCATACTCTCTGTGGAGAATCTCGCATGTGCAACGTGCAGGAAGGACATAGCACTGGACATAGAGGTGCAAGCATACTATCCTGGGGCTCAGGAGGCTGAGGCAGGAGGATCACCACGAGTTCCAGGCCAGCCTGGACTACATAGCAAGACCCTGACTCAAAATAACAAAAAAGAAAGTACTTAATAAGATGCCCGGCACATAGTAGGTGCTCAAGGCAGTGGCAGGAGTGGGGCTACACAAGACCCAGCCAGGCGTGAGTGGAGGAACAGAATTCCAGGAAGCGGAATGGGGTACCGAGTAGTCTAGAGGCGAGGGGGACCGCTGTGTCCCAGCAGCCTGTCTCTTGGTTAACAGTGGAGGAAACGCCACGTCTGGAGGGAGCACACCTGTCCTGCCACCCTGAAGGCTCAGGGGTCCCTAGGGTTCGTTGAATCCTCTTTGTCACGTAGCTGGTTTTACAGCCATTCCTTTCCCAGCCTTTGTGCCTCCTCAGGACTTCTCACAACGACGAGGACACAGGGATTGAGCTGCGCCCGGGCCTCCTAATTAGCTCTGCCGCCCGCCGCGTGGCTGTGATGCTGCCGCCGCTGCTCCTCCACCTCCCGGCGTGGCCCGTGCTGCTGCTGCTCCGTGAGATCCCCGGGACTCGCACGGCCCTCAGCTCGCTTTTAAGCGGCTCCAATCTCCCCTCCGGAGCGGCGGCGATGCTGGTGTTCTCGGGGCCTCCCGCCTACACCCCTGGGCGGGGACGGCACATCGGGCCGCTCCTCACGCCCCCCCCCCCCGACACGGGACTCCCCGAGACCCCGACTCTGCTGGCGACGTGAGCTTTCTTTTAAGGGGACTTGGAGTCCCGGTGCCAAGCTCAGCTGTGGCGGAACTTTGGAAAACATCTTAAAACGGAACATGGCAGGGCGGTTGCTTTTTAAAAAATTGTGTAAAAATGTGTTTTCTCCAGTTTCTAAATTAGAACAAGCTTTATGAGAGAAAATTGGGGAAAATACAGGAAGAAAAAAAAAAACAGAAAAGGGAAGAAAAGAGTCACTCCAAGTCCCGAGGACAAACCCGCTAAGCCGCTGGGTGTCTTTTGTCTTTGGCCTCCTGTATTTTAAAATATTGATTTATTTGCAGTGCTGGGGGGTGAACCCAGGACAAACGCATGCCAGGCAGGTTCTCTGCTGCTGAGCACTGTCCTCAGCCCTTTTCATGTTCTCGGGTCTTGGAATCCTCCTGCCTCAGTCTCTTGAGTAGCTGGGATGACAGGTATGGGCCACCCTACCCATCCTGGCCTATCTTTCAGGGATTTTGTAAATCTACAATGGATAAGTTTACATGGACTAGCTGGGCGTGGTGGTGCACGCCTGTAATACCAGCACTCGGGAGGCTGAGGCAGGAGGATCGTTGCGCGTTCGAGACCAGCCTGGGCTACAAAGTGAGTTCATGGTCAGCCTGAACTGCATAGTGAGACCTTGTCTCAAAAAGACAAAAAAAAAAAAAACTTTCCATGTACTATTTTGTGTCCTTTTTTAAAAAATGTAGCCTCTTGACCTCAGCTTTCCCCGTATATTACAAGCTCTTTATGGACTGTTTTGGGGTGCAGTCACTGTAGGCATTGATGTCCTGTAACATCCCAAATTCCCCCTGCTGTGTAAAATGCCCTGCTGCTGCTCCTGTGAGTGAGTCCCCTTCCCTTCGATGGGTTCCCAGAGACGGTTCCTTGGTCCATGCCCGGAAATGCTCGTGTTGCTGTTCGTCTCGCCCCCATACTGCCTTGCTAAGGGGCCAGTGGATTTATTATTTATTTCCCCACATTTTCCCTTTATTGTGGTAAAATGCGCATAGCATTTGCTGTCCCGCCCGCTCGTGAGTGCCCTGTTCGGTGGCATTAAGCACACTGATGTTGTGCAACCGTGACCACCCTCCCACCCTGGGCTCTTTTCGTGTGGCGAGACAGAAACCGTCCCCATGAGACACCGACTCTTTCCTCCCTCCCAGCCCCTGGCAGCCCTGTGCCACTTTCTGACTCTAACTTTGGTTCCCCTGAGGCCTCCTGCGAGTGGAATCCTGCAGTGTTTGTTCTTCTGTGACTGGCTTCTTTCACTTCATGCAACATCCCCTGAGTTCACCACATTTTAGGTTCCGGGGTCAGAACTGCCTTCCTCTTCAAGGCTGAATAATATTCCACCGTGTGTCAACCGCCTGTCGAGCATCTCTTCTTCCACTGATGGACTCGTGGGCTCCTTCTACCTCGGCCGTTGTGAACATGAGTGTGCAAACGTGCCTTCCGGACCCCACTTTCAGTTTCTGAGGGTGCTGGGTCACTATGCAGCTCTGGTTTTAGCTTTTTGGGGGACTCCCACACTGTTTCCACTTCACGTTTCCACTGTGGTGCGCAGGGTGTTTCTCCCCCAGGTTCTTTGCCACGCCTTGTTATTATCTTGTTTTTGTTTGGCTTAGTTTTGGTTTGGTTTTTTGGAGATGGTCTCACTATGTGGCCCAGGATGGCCTCAAACTTGTGGCAATCCTCCTTCCTCCGCCCCCTGAGTGCTGGGATCACAGGCGTGCAACCACTAACCCTGGTTTTGTGTAGCCCTTACACTCATTATGTAGCCCAAGCTGGCTTCAAACTCCCTGTGATCCTCCTGCCTCAGCCTCCCAAGCACTGAGATTATAGATGTGCAGCGCTGCGCCTGACTCGCTGGGTTTTGATGGTAGCAGTACTAAAACATAAGGCGATATTGTTCACATACTATTCATTTTACCCATTTCAACTCTACAGTCCGGGGCTGGGGTATAGCTCCGTGGTGAGTACTTGCCTGGCTTGTGTGAGACCCCGAGTTCAATCCCCAGCACCGCAAGAAAAGTCAAAAACTAGTCATTGGTTTTTCCTACATTCACAGAGTTGGGGGTCCATCCCCACACTTATTGAGGGCGTTTTCACACCCCCAAAAGAAGCCCTGTACCCCTTCCTGCAGTCACCTCTCACTGCTGCCCAACCTCTTCCCGACCCCCACCCGTGACCCCTGCCCCACTTCCCGCCTGGTGGGTTCACCTGCTCTGGGCATGCGGTGCCAGCAGGGTGGGCGGGACGTGGTCCCCTGGAGCCACGTCTTTCCCTCAGCCCAGCGCTTCCGTGGCTCATCTGTGGCTCCATGGAAGCTTCTGAGGGGACAGAGGTTTCAGTTCTCTGGGCCGTGTACCGAGGGCGGGATTTCCGGGTCATAGGGCCTGGCCTTGTTGAACCCTCGCGTGTGGAGAAGGGTGCGGGGGAGATTCTGCTAGTCACTTACGTCTCTCGGGCTGGGCTCGACTTGGAATTCTTTTTTTGTTTGTTTGTTTGTTTGTTTGTTTGTTTTTTGGTTTTTCTCCGGTACCGGGAACTGAACTCACGACCTTGCGCTTACCAGGCAGGCGCTTTGCCACTGAGCTAAATCCCCAGACCCTCGACTTGGGATTCTTTTGCTTCTGCTTCCCGGGGTGCAGGGCAGTAGTCAAGCACCACTGTGCCTGGCTGTGTAACTTTTTCATTTTTTTATTAGTCCGTGTGTGCAGTATGTGAAGATCACACGCCTCAAAGGGGGCCAGCGCATGCACAGAGGGCATCTTTGTTCCTTTTCACCCCTCCCCTTCCCCTCCCCCTCCATCTCTTGATCTGTTCCCCTTTGAAAAAATCTCTCTCTCTACTTCCTGTTGTCCATCTTTTATTTTGCTCTTTATTTATGCTTTGGGTTTGTCATATAAGTGAAACTATGTGATATTTAAGCCTTAGTGTCTGATTTATGTCACTGAATATTGTGGTCTCAAGGTGCATCTGTTTTGTACAAATGCCTCAAGTGTATCATTTTTATGGCAGAGTAGTACTCTACTGTGTATAAATACCACATCTTCTTTATCCAGTCATCCATGGATGGACCTAGAGGCCGCTTCCAAGATTTAGCTAGGATAAGCTGTGCTGTGGACACTGCCAGCCAAGAGGTTCACGCCGTGGTTCCCTGTAGGTTTCCCTGGCGGGTGATGATGGCAAGCAGGCGTCCCCATGCTTGTGGGCCATTCTTCTGTCTGAGGGAACTGTCTGTCCGACAGTCTGCTTGTTTCTAAGTTGGACTGTTTATCTCCTTATTATCAGGTTGTAAGAATTCTTTGCATAGTCCAGGCACAAGCCCAGGGTCAGCTCTGTGGCCAGCAACTGCCTTCTCTCCTGGAGCGGCCTTCACTTGTTCTCAGTAGCGTCCTTGAAAGAAAAAATTTGGTTTTAGCCGCGTGTGGTGGTGGAACCCACCTGTAATCCCAGCACTTGGGAGGCTGAGGCAGGAGCTTGCTTCGAGTTTGAGGCCAGCCTGGGCTACACAGTGAGTTCAAGGCAGCCTGAGTACACAGAAAGACCCTGTCTCAAAAGTCAACGAAATCGAACTTCCAAGCAGGGCTCCCCCTGTTGGTCGCTCGTGGTGCCAGTTCTCCCTTGCCTCCTGTGAAGTGGGCCTATCTTCCCGGCTGCAGGGAAGGCTTACGAGATCAGCTACGTGAGACTGAAGTTCCACACCAGCCGCCCCGAGAGCTTTGCCATCTACAAGCGCAGCCGCGCAGGCGGCCCCTGGGAGCCCTACCAGTACTACAGCGCCTCCTGCCAGAAGACCTACGGCCGGCCCGAGGGCCACCACCTGCAGCCGGGTGAGGACGAGCGAGTGGCCTTCTGCACTTCCGAGTTCAGTGACATCTCCCCGCTGAGCGGAGGCAACGTGGCCTTCTCCACCCTGGAGGGCCGGCCCAGCGCCTACAACTTCGAGGAGAGCCCGGGGCTCCAGGTAGAGAGCAGTGGGCCCTGGGGCTGGGGTGGGCACCGGGCTGCAGGCTGATGCCTGGGTCGGGGGCCCTTGAGACCACATGGGCTTCACATTGCATGTCCCTGGATGCCTGATAAAGAAATAGGTACGGTGGCACACACTGTGGTTCCAGCTACTCAGGAGGCTGAGGCAGGAGGATCACCTCGAGTTCAAGGCCAGCCTGAACTCCATAGTGAGACCCTGTCTCCACTGCACACCCTCCAGAAGTTCTGAGGTGTAGCTGAAAGGGAGAGCACCCAGTACGGGGCGCAGTGGGGGGACAGGCAAAGGAAAGAAGAGGAAGAGGGTCTGCTCTGGCACAGGAAGTGCCGCTCCCCCGGCGTCCAGTGGCCCAGCCCTGTGGCCCAGGAGCTCTGTGACAACCCCGCACTCACTTTGCCCCGTCCTCATAGTGGTGGGAAAGCCGAGACCTGGAGGGACAAAGGCATCTGAGGGGGAGAGATGACTTGGTGGGGGGCACCCAGAGCTTTCCGCTGTGCCCTCGCTGCCTCCCCACTGAGAGCCAGTGACAGGGCCTGGCAGGGCTCCTGAGGGTGCGGTGGCCGCTGGCTGCCCTGCCCGGCGCTGAGGCCTCCGGCCGCCAGTCTTGTGTGACTGCAGAGGCCCCAGAATGCATTTCAGTTTCTCATTTTTATAGCCCTGGGGATGGAACCCGGGACCTTTGCACCGAGCTACATCCCCAGCCCCTTTTATTTTTTATTCTGGGACAGGGTCTCACTGTGCAGGGATGACAGGCGTGGGCTGCCACACCCTGCTTGTTTTGTTACATTTTATGAATTTTAACATCAGTGGCTGCATGGGACCAGCGGCTGCCCCACTGGCGCGGGCGGCTCTGAGCGGTGAGGCACATGAGGGTCAGAGGGAGCGTGGCAGACACAAAGTGCAGGTTCCCCTGCGAGGATGAGCGCTCACAGCTTCACGGTCCCCCCAGCGCTGCCCACACAGGGGCACTCAGGTTCCTGGCCCCAGGACCCAGGTGTGTCCAGCTTGACGCTGCCGGTCAGGGACAGCTGTTGGCTGAGGCCAAAGCTCCCCCTGTCTCTCTGGGGTAATGAGGGGCTCTTGTGTCCAGGGGGGCACTGAGGCCTGGAAAGAAGCTGTCCGGCCCAGGCTGCACAGTGTAACAGCTGGACCCCCGAGCTGGCCGGGCAGGGGTCCCCAAGGCCACTGTCCTACTCCAGGATACGCTGCAGGCACCCACAAATTCACTGTTCTGCGGGACAGTTTATGGAATAGGAAGATGCAGCCTGAAATCAGCAGAGGGGGCGCCCAGGGGGCTCCAGGGGGCCGGGCAGAGGGCTTCCGCTGCCCCTTCCGGAGAGTCCTGCAGACAGTGCTGGCTCCTCCAGCAGTGCCCGCCTGAGCCCTGACGTCCAGGGTTCTCACGGTTGGTCACACAGGCACGGCTGGCCACCTGCGCTGCTGACCATCCCTCAGGAAGTGTGGCCTGGGGAAGACCTGGTATCAGGCGGGACACTCCAGGCCCTCGAGGTCACCCCGAGGCAACGCCCCCACCCCCCTGCCCCGCCCCGTCCAGGCCAGGTGAGCCCTTTAGCACACAGAGCCACTGTCCCATGGACAGTGTTCCCGGTCACCAGCCTGGTTTTGTTTAAGGTCAGTTTCTTCCCCGGGGAGCCCTGAGCTCTGTGGATTAGAAAGTGTCAGCTGAGGTGAGAGGAAGCCCCACGGGAAGGACCGGGTCCCCTGCACCCCTTGGGGCAGTTTCACTGCAGACCGATGGTGGCCCACGGTCTGACTCGTTGCCTCCAATGTCCCGGCCACTGTCCCCGATGGAGAAATGACCTTTCAGAGATGTGCACCTTGCTGCTTCCAGGAGGGGCCCTGCCCTGCCCCCACGTCCTGCCCCTCGACAGACGTGGGGAGGTCCCCGCAGAGGACAGAGCCTTGGGGTGGGCGGAAGGAGGGGCGCGGCTGTGTGGCTGCCGGGTCCAGGCTCTGTGTCCCGGAGGAGGACCACGGCAGATGAGGTCGTTGAAGTGTGCGCACCAGCGCCGAGCAGCTTCCTGGACCACAGGACCAAGGCCGTCTGCCCTGCTGCCTCCTTCGTTAACGTCCTTAAAATCGTTTTTGGGGTGCCGCAGCCGGCACCCAGGGCTTTGCGCACGAGAGGCGGGCGTTCCTCCCCCCCGCAGCCCTGCTGCCGCCTCCACAGCACCTCGATCTGGAGCCTGGGATCCAGCCAAAGGCAACCCCGGGTCCCACGCATGGGGTGAGCCACAGCCGTCACAAGCTGCAAAAGCTGCTGGGCGTGGTGGTGCACGCCTGTCATCCCAGCACTCAGGAGGCTGAGGCAGGAGGATCACTGAGAGTTCAAGCCAGCCTGGGCTTCATTGTGAGTTCAAAGCCAGCCTGAACTACACAGCAAGACAGAACCAAAAACCGGCAACAGCCTTGCCTGGGTACAGCAGTGCCTCAACTTCCGGGCATCTGGGGCCCCCGCCATCCGGGCTGAGGAACAGTTGCTCCCTCCCCAGCTCCCACCTTGCTTCACAGAGGCCTCCAGCCTCGCCTGTCACTGCCATAGTCTTGGTCACAGGCCGAAGGGCAGATGTGCAAGCCCAGTGAAGGGTCCCTGACAGGCCGGAGGCAGGGCCAGGACTTTGCCCTCTCCGGTGCCCCAGTTCGCCCTGGGCAGCGGGCAGTTGCGGAAAGGCAGGCTCGCCTGTGCTTAAAACTTGGCCCTGGGCTCTGTTTGATCTGAGTCCGGGTCCCCATGAGCAGCAGTGCTTGTGGCCCGGAACGCTGCCTGCCCGGCCTGTTTTCCCGTGGACGGAGGTGGAGAGGTGCCTGCTCCTAGCACTGCCGTGAGCGGTGGGAGCCTTAAGCTCACCACACCCAGCGGGGACCCATCGGGGCTTGACTGCTTCGGCAGCTCTGGGGGACAAAGCAGAGTCGCGCCAGTGCTTCAGCCTGGACACTGGGCCTCCCGCCCCCGCCTTGGCTCCGGGCTCCCCGGCCTCTCCAGGCACCGCAGCCCCTGCATCCCGCATCTCTCGCCGGAAGTGCAGGCTCCAGGCAGCTCAGTGGTGAGTGCCTGCCCACCGTGCGTGAGGCCCTGGACCCCACCCCAGCGCCGCGCAGAAAGACAAAGAACTCGGGAGCCACGTTTGAACCAGATCCCTGGGTGCACACTGACCTTTAAGAGGCTCGGTCTTGGGTAACTCGGGGAGTGGCAGGGACTCAGCGTGCCCGCCGTGTGCAGTGGCAGGTGCTGCACCCTTTCTGGCGCGAAAGACGCCTAGACGGCAGCAGAGCCCGGGTCCAGGCTGCGCTCCGGGAGCGGCTGCGCCGGGCCTGAGTCATGCTGGGGTGGGAAGAGCGACTTTTCCAGGAGCTCATTTCTGTCCTGATGTCCTGATTGCTAAACCAGCAGCCCCTGGGCTGAATTAAAATGCTGATTAATATTCCGCCAGAGCCGCGCCTGATTATAACAGCAGGCAGATGAAAATGTCAGCCTTCACGTGGGGGCCGCTTCCTCGCCATGCTCTGCCGCGGGAAGTTGCTCATTCGCCGGGTGCCAGCTGTGTGCCAGGCCGGGCCCAGGGATGGGGACACAGCGAGGACAAGGGGACCAAGCCTCGCTCTCGTGGGGTCACACTCAGGGAGGGAGATGTCACCCGGGGACATGGGGCCCTCAGTGGGTGACAAGCTGAGAACCCTGCCCTGCCTCTTACGGGCCTGGGGAGGAGGGCAAGGCGCTCTCTGGGCCGCCACCTGCCCCCTGTCCTCTCACTGGAGAAGGCAGGGGACCCTGCACCCTAGGGTCTGCCAAGCCCCTGCCCACCCCCAGCTCCTCTGCTCCCTGAGCGGGCACCATGCTCACATTGGCGCCTCCTCCAGCTGCTTCATGGGGTGGCACTGTCCTTGTCCCGTTCCACGGGGAGATGGAGGCAGCAGCATGTTTGGTTTTTTTTTGGTTTTTGGTTTGTTTGGTTTTTTGGGGAGACAGTCTTGCCATGTAGTTCAGGCTGGCCTTGGACTCACTGTGTAGCCCAGGCTGGTCTCAAACCCATGATGATCCTCCTGCCTCAGCCTCCGGAGTACTAGGATTATAGGCGTGTACCACCACGCCCGGGCAACAGCAGCGTGTTGAGCCGTGTCCCCAGATGTGCCTGGCCGAAGCGTGGCTCCAGGCTCCTAGTTCCTGCTGTCCTTGGGGTCTGTCCCAGCTCGGCCCATTCCCGCAGAGCTGCTGACTGGGTCCCTGCCTCACCCCCCAGGACTGGGTCACCAGCACCGAGCTCCTCATCTCTCTAGACCGGCTCAACACGTTCGGGGACGATATCTTCAAGGACCCCAGGGTGCTGAGGTCCTACTACTACGCCGTGTCCGACTTCTCCGTGGGTGGCAGGTAGGTGGGGCGGCATGGGTGCCGGAGCAGAGAAGGGGCCGTGTCAGGACGACTGGCGGCTGCTGGGCAGGTAGAGCAGCACCTCGGGTGACCCGGGGACAGGATGGCCAGCCCCAGCCCCATGGCCGGCATGGGAGGCCTTCAAGCTGACTTCAGCCGCAGACTCCCCGCTGGCTGGTTCTGCCCCTCGAGTCCGCGCCCTGTACCTGCTGGTGCCTGAACGGGGGTCCCCTGCCCCCTCTCGTGTGACCATCCAGTCCCAGAGAGAGACGCCCTGCCACCTGCCCCCAGCCCCGGGCCTGGATCCTCCTAGCATCTGACCTAGGAAGCAGGGGCTGCCCGAGGTGCTGGGCTTTGTCCTTGTCCCCCTCCTCACCACCTTCTGGCGCCGTCCGGAGCAGCCGCGGCCCGGAGGGAGGCAGGCGATGTCCTCCACATGTGCCTGTCTCCGAAGGGCAGAGGGAGACAGTGTGTTCCCGGCAGCCTCCTGGTGCGGCAAGTGCAGAGCCCGTGGTCCGTGGGAACGTGTCGGCACACCCCAGTTCACAGGACAGGGGCTGCCGAGGACAGCGAGTGGCCAGGCACTGAGCCCAAGCGCATGGGAGAGCAGGCCCGTGGCGGCGAGGTGGAGGCTGGGCCGGAGGGGCTCGGGGCTGAGGATCCCGCTCGCCCAGCCCCTGACCCGTGGTAGGCTGTCGCAGGAGCTGGCCAGGGGACGGAGGGGGCCGGTTGTTGGAACACCCCAGCGAGCGGAGGAGCGAGGAGGCCAAGTCGCCCGAGCAGTCCAGCGGGAGCCAGGCAGCCCGGCCCAGCAGGTCGTGGCCAGCTGGGAGCGAGGGCCCTAGAGCCGTTTGAGTTCACTGGGTGGGCCGTGGCGGTGGACACTGAGGACGGCAGCCGGCGCCGGGCGTCCACGGTTCAGAGACACCTGGTGGCATCGGGGCGGGAAGGGATGTGACCCAGCGCCTGCATTTCAGGGTGTCTGCGGCTCCAGGGAAGGCCGGTGCTTGGGAGCGGATGGGCCCGAGGGACAGTGAGGACCCTCCACTCGCCACCCCTGGGTGTGATCAGACCTCCCAGGGTGGCGGACGCCGTGAGCCCCAGGCCCGCTCACAGGTTTCATGCCAGGAAGCATCTGGGCCCCAGCTGTGCAGCCGGACCACCCTCAGACCGGCAGCTGGCTGTGCAGGCTGCTACCCTTGCGCAGGAAGGAACAGGTGGCCCTGCGGCCTGAGGGCGACCAGGCTCTTGCTCTGCTCAGAGGGCTCCACGGGGGAGGGATGTCCGTGGCACCCTCTGGGGACAGGGCCGTCCCTCATCACTGCCCTGATCACCATCTCCCGAGGCCGCCTGGTGCCCACCTCAACCCTGCTGGAAATGTAGGGGTGTTGCCTGCCCACCCTGGGCCGCTGGGCACGCAGAGCTGTGTGGCTTTCCCATGCCCTGTGTCCCCAGATCAGAGAAAGCTCCAGGGACCTGGTGGAGGCAGCAGTCCATAGCAAATCGGCCCTGAGCTCCGGGTGTGTCTGGAGTCAGACAGGGCCACTTCGGCTTGACTCTGCCACTTAGGGTCTCTCACTTTTAAGGCCTGAGCCTCAGTCTGTTCATCTGTGACATGGGGACAATAGTGGCCCCTGCCGCCTCCACAGGAAGGCCCCAGTGAGGATGCTTGGTCTGGGGCCCCCGAGGGCCGGGCTGGGGCCAGAGCCTGAGGCCGCGCGGTGCTGGGCCTGGTTGCTTTGCACAGAGATGGTGACTGTACAGGGTCAGGCTCCGCCGAGGACGCCGTGCTGTCCCCGCAGCGGCTCTGTGCTCCTGCCTCACCCACCAGGCTCGTGACCGCGTGGGTGCCCTAGCACACGGCCCGGGCTGCCCTCAAAGTCCTGGGGCTTTGGACGCCTCTGAGCTGTCCTCTTTCTGGACACCTGCCCAGGCCCCACACCCTGCGACTGCCCTGTGGCTCTTCCTGGGTCCCTCGCAGCCTCAGTCTGGGCTGGGCCCGGGGCGGGGTGGGGGGGATTTGGTCCTGCACAGAGCTTAGGGCCACGCGGGACTCTTGGCCAGCGCGTCGGTCTGTGTTCAGCAGAGGCTGTGGCTGGGCTAGAACCGGGGCTCGCGCAGCAGGGGCAGAGCAGCTCCCGGGGCGCCCATCCCCGCTGTCCCCACGTCCCCTCCTCCACTCTCTGCGCAGGTGCAAGTGCAATGGGCACGCCAGCGAATGCGGCCCCGACGCGGCGGGCCAGCTGGTCTGCCGGTGCCAGCACAACACCACGGGCGCCGACTGCGAGCGCTGCCTGCCCTTCTTCCGGGACCGCCCGTGGGCCCGCGGCACCGCCCAGGCCGCCAACGAGTGCCTGCGTGAGTGCGCCGGGGTGTCGGGGACCTCACAGCTGGGTGCCGCCGCCCTTGGCCGCTCTGCCCGGCCGTGCCTGGGGCCCACGCAGTCACCTGGTTTGCTTCAGGCTGTCCGCATGCGGCTGTGTTGTCACTGGGCGTCGCCAGGCATCACCAGGCACCAGTTCCTGGCTGGCAGGGCGGCACCCATCCGCAGCCGGCCTGTGTCCGCGCCTCTCGGCACCGCCATCTGCTCGGTCCTGGCCCACTGGCGGCCAGAACTGGCACAGGGAGGGGACAACCTGTTCCGGGGCACGGGCGCTGCCTGCTGACACGTCCAACTGCCCCGCTGCTGCCTGGCCTGAGCCCTTCCGGTGCCCACTCGCGCCCTGAGCCCACAGCTGTCTCCACGGCAGGGACACCGAGGGCCCGGCTGCCCCTTCTGCCCCATCCTTGCTGTGGCAGGTCCCTGTCCCCCGGGCACCAGCCTGGAAGCTGGGGTTTCCTGCCCAAAGCCCTCACCTCCACCCCAGCCCTGGCAGCGCCTGGGCCTGAATCCTGCCCTGTAAGTCCACCTGACGGTGCCTCCCTGGGCAGCAGGGTCGTGATCCCAGTGACGTCACCTCTCTTCTGCCGCCTCAGTTTCCTCTCTCTGCTCTCCCTGCCGCCAGCTTCCTGTACCAGCAGCCCAGGCATTTTCCAAAGTGCGGGTTCAACCCTGTCCCTCTCTCTTACCCCATCTCTTGTTTACAAAAGCCAGCCTGGGCTACAAAGTGAGCTCAAGGCCAGCCTGAGCCGCATGGTGAGACCCTGTCTCAAACAAACAAAAGGACAATGCACCTCCCTGCCAGTGTTCGTTTAATTTTCAACAATCATGAACCAATGTTGGGCAGGGTGGTCTCTGCACTTGGGAGACTGAGGCAGGAAGATCACCATTAGTCAATAGTAAGTTCAAGGCCAGCCTGAATGGCTTAGCAACATCCTATCTGAAAATTTTTTTAAATTTAATTTAAAAAGAAAGGAATTACTATACAGTGTAAGTGGCAATACCGCTACTAAAAATGAGATGCTATATTTGTTTTTGTTTTTGTTTTTTGAGACAGGGGCTCGCTATGCAGTTCAGGCTGGCCTTGAGGTCACTTTGTAGCCCAGGCTGGTCTTGAACTTGCAACAATCCTTCTGCCTCAGCCTCCTGAGTGCTGGGATGACAGGCATGCACCACCACATCCGGCCCGAGATGCTATAAAGGGAGGATGTCTTTTGTTTCCAAAGACTGTCCATATCATAGAGCGATGCAAAAAAATAAAAGTGAACCATTTCGTGGCACTTCAGGGGTGAGTTGAGGACGGTAATGCTTGAGGCATCTCGGGGCAACAGGAATAGTACATCTGCGGCTCCCCTGGCTGCAGGGGAAGAGCCCGGCCACCCCGGGCTCTGCCCTGCCGCCGTGCCCCTGTGAGTTCTCAGCTGTCCCCGCATGGTACCCCCCATGCCTACTGTCTCCCAGCCCCCACCCATCACCTGCTGCCACCACACCCCACACCCGCAAGCCCACCTCCTGCCTGAGACACTGCCCACTCAGTCGTCCTTCTCTGGGCCAGTGCTTTTGTGCTTGGCCTTCATGTTCGGCATAGTTATGACTTCTCCCATGCACATGCAGTGATTTGGGTGGATTTACTGTCCGTACCCACCTTGCTCCTAAGATCTTAACTCAGTTTTTGGAAGATCAGTCAGTCTCCTTGTCCTGGATCAAGCTGAGCCTGAACTCCATCAGGGAGGCCACACACTTGACCTGAGCTGCCTATTTGTTCAGCATAAGGAGACTGGCACAGAGCCCCCTCCTGCCAGGCCAGGACGGCTCACACACGCCCTCTGCACCTCCTGCCCACAGCCTGCAACTGCAGCGGCCGCTCCGAGGACTGCACCTTTGACCACCAGCTCTTCCGCAGTACGGGCCACGGCGGGCACTGCCACCACTGCCGCGACCACACGGCCGGGCCGCACTGCGAGCGCTGCAAGGACGACTTCTACCGCTGGGACCTGCGGGCGCCGTGCCGGCCCTGTGACTGCCACCCGGCAGGTGAGTGGCCCCACCCAGCCCCCACCCTCGGCCGGTCCCTGCCCCCGCTGCCCTGTGCCTCCCTCCCCAGGCTCCCTGCACCTCCAGTGCGATGCCTCGGGCACCTGCCCCTGCAAACCCTCGGTGACCGGCTGGAAGTGTGACCGCTGCCTGCCTGGGTTCCACTCGCTCAGCGAGGGCGGCTGCAGGTGAGGGCTGCGCAGGCTGCACCGCGTGTGTTAGGAGGGACAGAGCTCCATTGCCCCACTCCTCCATTGCCCCACTTCTCCATGCCCCACTCCTCCCTGGGGCGTTTCTTAGCCTGGAGGAGGACAGGTACCTGGGCCCCGGGGAGGTGGAGACCCTGGGGGATGATGTGGGGCGGGGGCTGCGTGCTACAAAGCCCAGACGTGGAAGGAGCAGGAGGGGCAGGTGTGCTGGGTGGGGCAGCAAGCTTGGTTTTGGTTCCTAACAGCAGCACCCTTGTTATTTGAAAAGTGGCGGAACTGTGTTGGCTGGGCCTGGAGAGGAGTCTCGGGTTCCTGGAAAAATACTAGGTGGCTCTGGCCACAAAACTGACCCTGAGATGAGGATCTGGCTGATTCCCCAGGTCCTGGCCTCCGGACCTTTGCACATGCTGTTCCTCTACCCCAGAGCCTGTCCTCCCCTGGCTGCATCTCTCCCAGACTGTGTCTGGCAGACTTCTACTCATTCTTTGGTTCTCAGCTGAGGTGCCCTCCCTCAGGAAGCCTCCTATGCCCCTGCCTCCTCCCCTCCCCCAGGGTGGCCCAGATGCCCCTCTGTGGTGCTGCCACACCTCTTGTCTGCGGCCTTCCTCCCATGTGTCACAGTGCAGTGTCTGCATTTGTCTGCCCTCACTGGACAGCGGGATCAGTGAGGGCAGGAGCCAGGGCTTGGCAGTTGGGTGGGGATGGATGGATGGATGGGAGGGTGGATGCATGGGAGGGTGGAAGGAAGGATGGGAGGATGGGAGCATAGGAGGATGAGTAGATGGATGGATGGGAGGATGGATGCATGGATGGGTGGATGGATGGGTGGATGGATGGACAGACGGACAGATGGATGGATGGATGGATGGATGGATGGACGGATGGGTGGATGGATGGATGGATGGATGGGAGGATGGATGCATGGATGGGTGGATGGATGGGTGGATGGATGGACAGACGGACAGATGGATGGATGGATGGATGGATGGACGGATGGGTGGATGGATGGATGGACGGATGGGTGGATGGGAGGGTGGATGGGAGGGTGGATGGATGGATGGGAGGATGTATGGATGGGAGGATGGATGGATGGATGGATGGGAGGGTGGATGGGAGGGTGGATGGGAGGGTGGATGGATGGATGGGAGGATGGATGGATGTATGGATGGGAGGGTGGATGGGTGGATGGATGGATGGGAGGATGGATGGGAGGATGGATGGA